CTCAAGAGAGGTAGGGGAGGCAGCAGGACTGCTGTTATTACTCATGCCAGCTGCTGAACAGTCTGCAGAAATTATTTGCGAATGCAATTAATCCAAGAGAGAAGTCTTTGCAGGCAATGCTTTTGTTTTGCATAATGATCGGGAACACCCACAGGGGTGCCCTGGTCACAATTTCAGATCTGTACCTGCTACCATTCCTGCTTTATGTCAGGACCTCACACTTTTCCTTCCCTCACCTGTGGTACTGTGGATATTGGCTTTCCTCTCCTTCCTGATACAGTGGTACCTCGGGTTACATACGCTTCAGGTTACAGACTCTGCTAACCCAGAAATAGTACCTTGGGTTAAGAACTTTGCTTCAGGATGAGAACAGAAATCGTGCTCCAGCGGCACGGCGGCAGCGGGAGGCCCCATTAACTAAAGTGGTGCTTCAGGGTAAGAACAGTTTCAGGTTAAGTACAGACCTCTGGAACGAATTAAGTACTTAACCTGAGGTACCACTGTATTGCACTTCTTCGTGTGAGAAGCATGCTACTCTGGTCGCAGCAACCCCATTGGACTCGTCAATGAATCTTGCTGGTTAATGCTAAAGAGGATAATAAGAATTATTTTGTGCAAGAGGAGTGGAACCTGAAGACCTCCATGTCATTGAAATTCTATGCAATATTGATCCAGAGTAGATTCCAATGTATAGTTAGCAGAGTAAAACTTAAACACGTTGCAGGATTCCCAAAAAATAGACCAGAGGCAATTATATTTCATTCAGCAGAGCTTTACTGCTACTGAAGGCAAATGGTCACAAATCCAATACATTCAGGATTGGCACTGTCCATAAGAAGTCCAGTTGCAGCAGACTTAACTTAAACTTGCAGTAACTTATAACAAGACTAAACGTTAACACTATATACCGTATTTTTTGCTCTATAAGACTCACTTTTTCCCTCCTGAAAAGTAAGGTGAAATGTGTGTGCGTCTTATGGAGCGAATGCAGACTGCGCAGCTATCACAAAAGCCAGAACAGCAAGAGGGGGTTGCTGCTTTCACTGCGCAGCGATCCCTCTTGCTCTTCTGGCTTGTGAGATTAAGAATATTTTTTTTCTTGTTTTCCTCCTCCAAAACCAAGGTGCGTCTTGTGGTCTGGTGCGTCTTATAGAGCGAAAAATACGGTACATAACACCACACCAGAAGGAAAGAGAGATAGGAAAGAGTGAAACCCAGGGTCCTTCTGGCCTTACTATTACAGTGGTACCTCGGGTTACATACGCTTCAGGCTACATACACTTCAGGTTACACACTCTGCTAACCCAGAAATAGTGCTTTAATTTAAGAACTATGCTTCAGGATAAGAAGAGAAATCGTGCTTTGGCGGTGCGGCGGCAGCAGGAGGCCCCATTAGCTAAAGTGGTGCTTCAGGTTAAGAACAGTTTCAGGTTAAGAACGGACCTCCGGAACAAATTAAGTACTTAACCTGAGGTACCACTGTATAGTCAACATGACCTTGACAGAAGAGATAAGAGAACCAGTTTAAGCCAACTGTACTCAGCTTCTCTGAAGGAATAACCCAAACACCATGAAGCTTCTGCTTGTTTCTTTCACACAGAGAAGCTTCCAGAACCCTCTTGAATTAAGTAGAATAGGAAAGATCAGATCAATACTTTCTTGCACCAAGAAATGCAAACTGACACTATATCACTCTAATCCAGCCGAGCCAGGTCAGTGGTCCGACATGCTGGGAGTTGAACCTATTGTTGGCATTCCTTGATGGATTATTGCAGGTTGGCTCTGGTTATATTCCGCCATTAGGTTACAGTGGTGCCTCGCAAGACGAAAAGAATCCGTTCCGCGAGTCTCTTCGTCTTGCGGGTTTTTTCGTCTTGCGAAGCAAGCCCATTAGCGGTTTAGCGGATTAGCGCTACAGTATTAGCGGCTTAGCGGGCTTAGCGGATCAGCTGATAAGCAGCTTAGCGATCAGCTGTTAAGTGTCTTAAGGATCAGCTGATAAGCGGCTTAACGATCAGCTGATAAGTGGCTTAGCCGATGAGCTGATAAGCGGTTTAGCGGCTTGGGAAAAAGGGGGGGGGGAAAGAAAAAAAACCCCGCAGGAACTTGCAAGACATTTTCGTCTTGCGAAGCAAGCACATAGGAAATTCGTTTTGCGAAGCACCTCCAAAACGGAAAACCCTTTCGTCTAGCGAGTTTTCCGTCTTGCGAGGCATTCGTCTTGCGGGGCACCACTGTAATTGTTTGTTCCTTGAAGGGTTTGAGCTCCGAAAGGTACCTTTCCAAGCTATCCCGTTGCAGTTCGAAGCAACAGTGAAAGTTGCGTAGGTTGTTTCTGGCACTGCTGATCGGGATCCGTTGTGACTTGTTATCTAACCCCTCAGGGGGAGTGTCGGCTCCCACAGGGGAGAAGTCAGTTCTGCTTTACTTCCTATTCCCCGCCCCCCCTGCCAGCAAAGAAAGTCTGAATGAAGTATAGTCGTACCTTGGATTCCGAACGCCTTGGCACTCGAACCTTTTGGCTCCAAACCTGGAAGTGAGTGTTCCGGTTTGCAAACATTATTTTTGAACCCAAACGTCTGGCACGGCTTCTGATTGGCTGCAAGAGCTTCCCGCAGCCAATCGGAAGCTGCGCCTTGGTTTCCGAATGCTTTGGAAGTCGAATGGACTTCTGGAATGGCTTCCGTTAGGCTTCCAAGGTACGACTGTATTTTTCCCCCGGGACCTTGCTCTGGTGGTGGTGACAGCAGTCTATTTGGGGTCAGCAGCATCTGATTAGTTCAGTTTAATATTGGGATAATGAACTTCTTCCAGTGCTTAGGAAACGTACTCTGTGTTCATAAATACACGGCTCACTCCAGTAACTCTTAATTGAGACGGCTTATAGCAGCCTCATTAAACTAACCATGTTATCTTTTAACAGCAGTCATCTATATGAACCTGATAAAATTAAATGATCATGGCTGTAAACAATTCCAGGAGCAAACAAATTGCTGCTAATATCAGCTGTGGCTGTAAGAACTGTAACTTCAGGAACTTCTGTTTGAGATGGTTTTCCCCTACTCTTCCTTTTCCGTTATGCATCAAATCTTTATAGAGATTTTTCCTTTGTGGCACAGACCTTCTTAGGAATGATTTCTGTAAGTCATTCTGAGAGCTAAAGGGCAGGGTATAAATTCTATAAATAAATAAAAAATGATAATAAAGAAACAATTGTATAGATATCCCGTCAGGACAGGTTTAGCAGCAGCATAAAAGTGACTAACCAGTGTGGTTTTTATGCATGTTTACAATTTCCTTGGTAAGTGCATGCAGTCTAAGGCCAGGAACCAAAATTTGCTAGCATAACTTCCCCAGTGACTGGTGAAATAGACTGTGTAGCTGTCGCTGCTTGGAAACCCAGTATGGCATTTGTGCTTAAGAGCATGAAGAGCACCTTTCGGTATTGCAACATTGACCCTCTGCTTGCATCCACAAACAGGAAGCAACACATGGCGTCCACATGCAGTTGGGAGATCTCTGGGGGACCCTGAGACATGCAAGAAATTTCTGCTTAACCCCTTCCCCATATTACCTCTTTAAAAAACTGGTAGGGATCAAGCCTGTGTAGATGCTTTGGCAGAAGAGAACAACACAGAGATGTGAACCAGCAGTTACTTTGAAAGGAACCAGGTACGGCAACCACTTAACCCATCACAAGAAGTCCTCTTCCACCATGTTGGACTTTGCTGAATGGGTTGACACTTCCTATTTTGCGTTTGGCAAATAGGAATTTGTGTATTGCTTTGGAGCGTCTGATTTTTAACGAGTGTTAGAGTATTTTTTTTAACAGACAAGCAACTAAATTTGTTCATAAATACTAAATGCCACTACATAATAAACATCACTGCTAACCAACTGTCAGAACATTGAAATCTTACGTTGGTCAATGAAAGTCGAAGTTAAATAACCAATTCCGAAACACAGATACTATATCATCCTTGAGTATGCAGCAGATATTCCAGTTGTCAGAAAATACCAGAATATTTGACATCAAGTTTTATAGAGGTGAATTTTTTTAGGCCAAGATTGTTTAAACTCGGACTGCATAAAAATTTTCCACCAGGTGTTGAGCAAACATTAAACATGTTTCGTACAGTGGAGAAGAGAGGCATTGATTCACCAAATTTCCTACTTCAAAGAGACTTAGGAACATCTTGCAAGTTGCAGCTCTCATTTTGAGGGAGTCTTCCTGCAAGTTGCTATGTTGAGTAAAATATTGCGGTGTGATAGGATATTTCAGACAGAGAAGTTGGTAAGGGTTTAAAATGTTTAACCTGAGAAGTGGCCCTGAATCCTCTGAAATAGTACTTTTTCATCTTAAATGTGAGCAAAATGAATTAAACTCGCTATGTTACTGGTGATAAATGGAGATAAATGGCTTTTTAACTCCTGTGAGTTTTGACCGATGGTTCACAGTGCATTTTTAAAGCCATAGTGCACTCTAACAAAGGACAATTATGTCTCTAACGTTATCCTTCCCTGGGTGCAGTTTTATATAAGTAATGAATTCAGGGAGCAGAACTGCAAACTCCAGAGTGCCTTCAGTCTTCTGCCGCGTGTAGAATCTGAAGCTTTGTAGAAATGTGATGCAGTAAAGATCATACAGAAATACGTTTGTTGTATGACACTGGCACAACTCCTTTGACTTCCCATTACACTCTCACAAATCTCTTCCAGGAAAAGGAATTCTTCTGTCCAGGATCCTGGAGAACTACTGCCAGAACGGAGTAGACAACGCGGAGTTAGTCTATATAAGCCGACTTCCTGTATTCTTGCAAGGTTCCAATTTTATGGATATCCAATGCATGCATATCCGTAAAATGTAACTTGCAAAGGGCCCTCTGAGAAAGGATATTGTGCTCGTACAATATATTTGCATGGTTTTGGTTTCACATTTGCGGTGTGCTGGCGATCAGCCAGTTAGAACCTTTGCATCATGCTGCTATCTTGCTTTGTGTGCTGGGATAGCTCTGTTGGAAGAGCATAAAGCTCTTAATCTCAGGGCTGTGGGTTTGAGCCCCACGTTGGGCCAATTTGCTAATCCAGCCTTCCACAACCGAGTGTCTTCAGTTTTAAACTACAGTTCTCATTATCCCTCACCATTTGCTCTAATGTCTGGGGCTGACGAGAAGTGAAGTTTAACAACATCCGAATGACAAGAAGTCCAGGAAGGTTGTACTGAAACACTACTTACTGAATACTAATTGGTTTCTTTTTTAAACAATAAATATTTCTTTCTTTTTATTAATGTTACATAATAAAGGTAAAGGGACCCCTGACCATTAGGTCCAGTCATGGCCGACTCTGGGGTTGCGGCACTCATCTCGCTTTATTGGCCGAGGGAGCCGGCGTACAGCTTCCGGGTCATGTGGCCAGCATGACTAAGTTGCTTCTGGCAAACCAGAGCAGCGCACGGAAATGCCGTTTACCTTCCCACCGGAGTGGTACCTATTTATCTACTTGCACTTTGATGTGCTTTCGAACTGCTAGGTTGGCAGGAGCAGGGACCGAGCAACGGGAGCTCACCCTGTTGCGGGGATTCGAACCGCCGACCTTGTGATCAGCAAGTCCTAGGCTCTAAGGGTTTAACCCACAGCGCCACCCGTGTCCCTTATGTTACATAATAGGTGTTACCTAACATACTAGTTTACTAAGAAGACGAAAGACAAAGTAGGAAAGAAAGGCTACCCAAATGTGTGTCTGAGTTATAATCTATTACAGAGAACTCTGGAATGTCAATGATGGAAGAAACCAACAACTTTTTTTTGCAGTGTAGGAATGAGTTCTTGTGTGTTTGTGGAATGTTGGGTGCCGATAGCGAGTTAATAGAAAATTTAATATAGGATTTCTTTTTGGTAATTCCAAAGTAAGCTCCAAACGGTGGGGAAAACTGACATTGAGAACAGACGCCTCCTCCTTGGTACCCCATAGGCTTATGTTATTGGTAGGATGATGACAAGACTTGCACAGGTTCAGGCGACCATGACCAAATGCATTATTTGTGACTTGCAGAGATAGCAGTTTGGAGAGGCGGTTGTCAAGATAAGGAGAAAATCCGCTAATGCCTGCCATTTGCTATAGAAGTACGTATAGCAGAAGTACATATGAATCCAGAAAGTCAAACCTATAATTATCTTTATTTGAAAGAATAAAGTTATAGAATTGGCTGGGACTAGCACCAGGGGGTGTCATTCTTGGGCACCTGTTGAGCCCAGCAGGGGCCTCAGTGGCTGCTCTCCAGAACCTTCCAGCCCAGTTGCTTCCAATTGAGCCCACGGGGGGGGGGGGCAAATATATGCACATAAAAAGCATTTTGGTTCCTGAAATTCATTCTGATTGCGGATATAAAATATAACTGATCCCCAAGGCATGCACCTCCAGATGTCAGGCGCCCTCCAGGTCCAGTCGTGGCCGACTCTGGGGTTGCGGCACTCATCTCGCTTTATTGGCCGAGGGAGCCGGCGTACAGCTTCCGGGTCATGTGGCCAGCATGACTAAGCCACTTCTGGCGAACCAGAGCAGCGCACGGAAATGCCGTTTACCTTCCCGCCGGAGCGGTACCTATTTATCTACTTGCACTTTGAGGTGCTTTCGAACTGCTAGGCAGCTTCCAACAAAGGCCAAAAATACAGTAAAATGTCACACATTAAAAACCTCCCTGAATAATAATAGGTTTCAAAGGTCTACGAATACCAGGGCTTCCCCACGCAACTGGAACTTGACAGATTTCAGTTCCAGCACCTCTCAGGTGGGCACCGTTGTCATTATGAGAGAGCAAGGGAGGTGTTCATGGTGAGATCCGGCACCTCTTTTTCTAGAAAAATAGCACTGGTGAAGACTATATATGCCTGGATTTTTAATTGCTATGGTTTTGCATGAGGAGTGCGGCCTGCTTAGGAAATGTCTCCACAACATTTGTTGTTGTTGTTTAGTCGTTTAGTCGTGTCCGACTCTTCGTGACCCCATGGACCAGAGCACGCCAGGCACTCCTGTCTTCCACTACCTCCCGCACTTTGGTCAAACTCATGCTGGTAGCTTTGAGAACACTGTCCAACCTTCTTGTCCTCTGTCGTCCCCTTCTCCTTGTGCCCTCCATCTTTCCCAACATCAGGGTCTTTTCCAGGTAGTCTTCTCTTCTCATGAGGTGGCCCAAGTACTGGAGCCTCCGCTTCAGGATCTGTCCTTCCAGTGAGCACTCAGGGCTGATTTCCTTCAGAATGGATAGGTTTGATCTTCTTGCAGTCCATGGGACTCTCAAGAGTCTCCTCCAGCACCATAATTCAAAAGCATCAGTTCTTTGGCGATCAGCCTTCTTGATGGTCCAGCTCTCACTTCCATACATCACTACTGGGAAAACCATGGCTTTTACTATACGGACCTTTGTTGGCAAGGTGATGTCTCTGCTTTTAAGATGCTGTCTAGTTTTGTCGTTGCTTTTCTCCCAAGAAGCAAGCGTCCAAGAAGCAGGGTTAGAATTGCCCTCCTGCATGCAATTCTAACCACGTGGTGCTACTGAATTGAGGGACATCACCTGACCATTCCAGACTCCTTGGTCAAATCCAAGACTCTGGACAGGAGTTATTTGGGGCTGGAATTGTCAAGATGGCATGCCCACAGCGATATTCCTGCTTTGCAGAAATCTGAGAGCAGAGCTCCCAAAGAACAATTGCGTTGCTTTTCCAGCAACTGAAAGCAAAACATCAAAACAAAATTACCCAGTGCAGCAGCTATTAATCCCAGAAGGCGATGCTAATAAGCTGGCTGATAGCCATTTTTCTCTGCACCGCCGTGGGGGAGAAGACGTATACCCCTCCCCTCCCATGCATTGTGGTCCCAATAACAAACCCCTGACAAACCCAGCAACTCACATACCCACAGCGGCCATCTAACCACAGTAAAAACCCGGCATCAGCACTTTAAGCAATGTTGTTTAGTAGTCGAGTTTGGCTCCAAAATGAGCTCATACCTCAGTTTCATTTCAGAGCTCTTGTGTGTTTTTGTCTAAAGTGGCTTGCCCGAGGCTGCTTGCCAAATTCCCTCTGCCCAAAGGCTGCCCTGTGTGCAACTGTTGAATGGGCCCTGCTTGAAATGAGGTCTCTGCCCTGCCAATAACGCTGTGCTTTGTGAGGCCTGCTCTCTTTTGAAGAGAGAGCCCTTCTGTATTTCGTACATATGGAACATATTTTATATGTTTACCTGCTGCTCCGGCACTTTTGTCTCACAGCGACTCTTTAATAATGAACGGTATAAATAATAGATTGGGCTAACAGCCCTGCGTGAGGCTCTCTAAACAGAGAGGCCTGGATCTAATATGCCAGGCTTACAGGAGGGAGCAACGCCCTTGTTTCTGAAGCCCAATTTAAGCTATGCAGCCCCCTGATGTTAATCACATCTGTGATGGGGCAGGACAAAGTGTGCACATCTAGCTCTCTCTGTTGCATGTCTCGGTATCTAGTTGGGGGGCAGGGACTCATCTGTAGCCCAAGGCCTGCTGTGTGATATAGGCTTCCCCCGTCCTGATATTTTAGAACATGATTAAATTGCCTTTACTGATAAACCGGCTGCCTTTCGACCTTCCGTCAACTGCTGCCTCTCAGCAGCTGTTTCATCAGACTGCCTAAACTGTTCCCATCTCAGTGGGTTGTTTGGGAGCAAGCCTTTAAGTAGGCAGTGAAGATGCATTTGTTTCAGGTGGGTTTTAAGATTCTGTGGCCTTACAGGGTTTTCATCTTTGAGGTCTTAAACTGGTCTTAAACTGATTATGCTGATCTGAGCAAGTTTTGTTACGGTTTTATACACACATACCATTTGGTTATAGGGACGCGGGTGGCGCTATGGGTTAAACCACAGAGCCTAGGGCTTGCCGATCAGAAGGTCGGCAGTTCGAATCCCCGCGACAGGGTGAGCTCCCGTTGCTCGGTCCCTGCTCCTGCCAACCTAGCAGTTCGAAAGCACGTCAAAGTGCAAGTAGATAAATAGGTACCGCTCCGGCGGGAAGGTAAACGGCATTTCCGTGCGCTGCTCTGGTTCGCCAGAAGCGGCTTAGTCATGCTGGCCACATGACCTGGAAGCTGTACACCGGCTCCCTCGGCCAATAAAACGAGATGAGTGCCGCAACCCCAAAGTTGGTCACGACTGGACCTAATGGTCAGGGGTCCCTTTACCTTTACCCTTTACCATTTGGTCCCCCCCCCCCCGTTTAGTTTGTTTTGTCTTTTATTATTGTGGACGTTATTGTATGGAAGCTGTCTTGGGAAGGTAGTTACCCTAAAAGGTGCCTGAGTTTGCCCTTTTTCTCCTCCCTCTCCATCCTTTTTCCTTTGTGCGTCATTTTTTAAAATTATAAACCTGTGGACAGGGACTGGTGATATATCACCCTAACACATCATGATTTGCAATATATTGCCAGGTCAAAAACTATGAAACTGGTATCACAATATGAACTTTAAACCGGTTTTGGATGATATATCGAGATATCGCTCAGCCCTAGTCCTGTAGTTAGAAAGCACTGGTCTGAACGGTTTTTCCCTTTGCCCTGCTCCTTTCCCAGGAAAAACCTGCTCTTTACTGCTAAATCGGAGCAAATGACAATCTGGAGAAAACCTGAATTGCCATTTGCTTCCACTGAGTGCTAAAGAGCAGTTTTCCCCGGGGGAAAGCAGAGGGACAAGAGGTCTTCATGTCAGAGTGTGCTGGCTGTCAGAAACAACCAGTGTGGCAGATTGTCTGGCTAACAGAAGGAAGACAGCATGTAAAACAGGTAGAATTAAAGAATTTAATGTAAGCACAATATGGCCACCCCTTGGCCTCGTTTTAAGCAGTTATCTTTTTAAAGGAAAAGGTAAAGGGACCCCTGCCCATTAGGTCCAGTCGTGGCCGACTCTGGGGTTGCGGCGCTCATCTTGCTTTATTGGCCGAGGGAGCGGGCGTACAGCTTATGGGTCATGTGGCCAGTATGACTAAGCCACTTCTGGCGAACCAGAGCAGCGCACGGAAACGCCGTTTACCTCCCCGCCGGAGCGGTATCTGTT